TCTATGATCTTAACAGTTCTGTGTACAAAAATAAGCTAACTTTGTAGAAAATTACATTATTAAAGAGATCATTTGTTTTAAGGACCTGTCGACCTTCTTAGCGCTGAAACTCAACGATTTACCACTGTGTTCTAAAGTAAAGTAATTATAGTACCATAGACCTTAAGAACTATCGGTGCACCATGGTGAAGCCCTTCAAATAGCCTTATTGAATAGCTTAATCAAGAAAATTATCCTTCAGGTGTATGTTCCGTTATCTGTTCTATCACTTAAAAGACTTGTAGATGCAGTAGCTTTTGGTGTGGTTGCTAAAGGCAAATAATTTTCCAAACACCATGGTGAATCGTGTAACACTTAAACCACAGCAAAGATTACAAAATGTCAACAAACTCGGTGACATTTACATAAGATCAGTCATAATTGAATTAGTCGTCTTGTGGGAAAATAAGTCGACTAAAACATTTTCCACACGGGGGGGCTGACTTCTGCTGTTCCTCGGGTATTTGATGGAAGAGATTGAAGACCCGCCACCTTACCTTCATCATCTGAGTCTCCCTGTCATCAACAACACCGCTTCGTACATAACTAAGTTCATCCTTACTGGTACAAAAAATGGGTGTATCTCCCTGGAACAGAATATCTTGTCGTTAGTGTGTTTTGGGGGCGGGTAGATGAACAGTTTGGCCTTCAAGAAGCATTAAGAAGTCATGCCAGGGAATAATTTGGGCAGACCACCTAAAATCGTTGAGAAAAACTTCTTCTGACTGTTCTGCGCCAACCCATGCAAATGTTATAGATGCTGGATTACTGAATGTTTTGTAGATTGTGTTCAAAGGGTTTAGCAAAAATGTTTTCGCACAGTTACAGGGACCTTTCAAGTACAAATTGCGATACTATCCGCACCCTTTGTTGAGAAGTATGCGAACACCTTCTGTAAAGTCATCCCTCACAATGGAGTTCCGCTCACTTCTTTTGCCATTTGCAACCACTGGCCGTCACACCCTGGCTCACACTCTCCTTCCAATTTACTGTACAAAATCTTAATTCTAGTGATTTTACTCCTTTGCAGCATGCTCTCCGCGTTTTCTAATTCCCAGTCTACAGCTATTGCTTCATCCACTACCTGACTTCCACGATTCGCGATGAACTGCGCCAAGTCAAGTTTCCCCTCACTTTTTTGCTTTTGTGCTAACACCAGCAGCTCTAACCGAGTTTTTATGCCATTTTTTTACGGCTATCTGCGATACATCATAAACCGATAACCTTTGGGAGGACTTTTTACACTTCCTTCGTCCATTGGCAAGTCAAGTGTGTGTTTCGGTAGCCCTTGAATTACTGGGTGCAGGGGTATTAGTCAAATCGGGCTGGTTATCAGACTGTAAGTAACTCTCGTCTTTCTTTGTTGTGTACTGCCACTCTGAATAATAATTGCTATGGGAGCGCTGAAATGCATTTTCACTCTGTGTCGCTCACCAAGATAATTGTGTATTTTCAGCCAGCGTCGCCGTGCATTTAACTTCACTGCCATGTGATAATGAATGTCCCCATCCCTATGCCGTTCTTGGCTGCACACCCACTGTACTATCCCACAACGCGTTAATGGGTCTGCATTGTCGAAACTATCCCTCACCAGCTGAACAAAACTTTCTCGATTAGGAACTATCTCTTCGTTCGCTCGGCTGTATGTGATTAGATAAATACTCTGAACTTGACGTGACCCCAGCGCCTCCCATTGCTCAGTAGCATTATCACCTGCTACACTTTCTGTCAGGGTGCTTAAGTCTAACACTTCACTACTTGTCGCGTCACAGTTTGCCATTTCACTATACGATTACGCGTTTCTTGAACGGGAAAGACATTTGACAACAGACATGCCCTTATTTATCGCGCTTAGAAAATCTAATTAGCTTAGGTAAATATTATTTCCCCTTTTGAAAAGTTGGAAGATATGTCTTCAGAAAGTGAAGTATAATCAGCGACCTCACATTTTCCCGCATGTCTTAATTACTGCCTGTATGTGTAACACATTGCTTTTAATTCCCTTATTTTCATCTTTTGCTTTTTTTTTAAATATAACTGAAAAATAAACCGACATCCTACATTTCCCTTTCTCATCTGTGCTCAAACCAAGCAGGTAGATTCCATCGATGATCCAAGAATTCGCTTTGAACAGAAAATGTTACTCTCGTTACTCTTTCCTCTCTTTAGACTAAATACAATACTCGTCAAAAATCCTGAAACACTTACGTCTACTTCCCCTTCCCCAGTGTTGAATTGGGTATCACAGTGGTCTCAGTGCTTCAAAATACGCGTGGCTCAACATTGGGGAGGGAGAAGGCACATTTCAGGGGGGAAACAGTGTAAAGTATAAATCTCAGGATTTTTCCAGACAATTCGAGAGAAGCGGTGTCTGTTTCAATGATTTGTGACAAGTATTGTAGTTTGTGATTCTCCTTACAAAAGGGACAGATGACACGTTTCATGTTTCTTTAGCTGGTTTTCTCAACAACATTTTCCCTTTCCTCCGACGAGCCAGTTGCCAGGGTTCTAGCATCAAAATTTCCTTTCTTACGTGGATTAAAATTAGTTCTTCTAGGGTTACCCTTGTAAGTTTCACCCGCCTTTAACGCTTGTAAGGAAGTTACAGGGTTTCACAATATTCTTGCTTCTCTTTTAATGAATTTGCAGAATTCTGTGAAGGGGGGATAACCAATCTTCATCACTCCTTCCTTCGACAGTGGAACTTCGTCACCCTCTAATTCATCTGTGGTTGCCCATTCGTCGACAATCCTACTCCATCTTGTCACCAAACAGCTTGGCAGTTTTCTGGTCATTTTTGGTTTTCTTCTGGATCGTTGAGGACATTTAAGATACTCGACAGTATTCATCGCTGTGAGACAATGCTGAAGGAAGTCTGAGAATTTCCTTAAACCATGGCCATCGTTTGGACCTTGGGCCAGTTATTGATTCTCTTTCAGTACGCATCTCCTACAATAAAGGTGTTGCCAAACGATCTGCTAGGATCTTTCTTGCTTTCTTATAGGCATCAGAGCTGTTTAGGGAAAGAAGACCACTTATAGCTTCTTTGGATTCTCCCGACGTATATTTGCCCAGATAATATAGTAGCTCAGATGGATCTTTAGTCTTCCTTTTGATGAAGGTTTCAAACGATTTTTTCCACATAGGGTAATCTAGAGGGTCTCTGGAAAACACCTCCGGTTCTGGACGAGGAAGAGAGTCACAATCTTACCTCTGGGCCAGCAAGTGCGAGTCTTCGCATCAAATCTTTTCCCGATGTACTGACAGCGGCGAAGATTTCAGTGCTGACAGTCCAGTTTTCCTTCAAAACAAGGTTTCCTTGGTATCTCCTGTGGCGACGGTGATGCAGTGGTGAAAGGCAAAGCATAAGGATTTAAGCTCGCAGGGGAGGGCTTGGTACAGTTAGGCGGTTCTCCCGACATCAAAACCTGCGACTTGGGAAGGATGGATCTGCTAGGGAAGGTGACGTTCGCATTAGCCTTGACATCTATGTAACTATGAGAAGTTGTGGTAGTTGCTGGTAACAGGGAACTGGACACTGTATTTTAAAGAACACAGTTCAGCAGAGACCGAAGATAATTTTCTAACTGCTCTTCATGACAATCATCGTTCAGTAGAAGCTTCTCATTTGGATGACTGACATCTTCATAGTCTTCTGCTATCTTGCTTATAGCATTTGGTTCTGCTTTAGTGGCAGCTAATTCTTTCATCATTTGCAATTTCTTGACTTCGTCTTCTTGTCTTTTCAGAGTTGCTAATGTAACTCCAATACACAAAAAAGGATCTAGACCACTACCTGAAAATTACCGACCGGAAAATTACCGACCTGTTTCCCTTACTTGTATATGCTGCAAATTAATGGAACACGTTCTAGTCTCACATATTTCGAAGCATTTGGATCGCTACGGTATTTTAAATGATTCTCAGCATGGTTTCAGGCGAGCACGATCATGTGATACCCAGTTAATTGCCCTTATAGATGACCACACAAAAGAAATGCAGGGAGAAGGCCAAACGGGTGTCATTTTTGTTATGGACGTTAGCAAGGCATTTGACAAGGTTCCACCCAATGGCTTGCTATACAAATTGTTTAAGTGTGGCATTGATGACATTACATTGCAGTGGTTGAAAAGTTTTCTTGAGAAAAGAAGACAAAGTGTAGTTCTAGAAGGAGAGCATTTGCATTCAGTTCCAGTAACATCAGGTGTACCCGGGTGTTACTAAAACGAAGACCCAAAAACAAAGACCTAAGACCTAAGACCCTATGGACTAAAACGAAGACCCCTTGGACTAAAACGAAGACCCTATGGACTAAAACGAAGACCCCATGGAATAAAACGAAGATCCTATGGACTAAAACGAAGATCCTATGGACTAAAACGAAGACCCCATGGACTAAAACGAAGACCCCATGGACTAAAACGAAGACCCTATGGACTAGAACGAAGACCATATGGACTAAAACGAAGACCCCATGGACTAAAACGAAGACCTCATGGACTAAAACGACTGATGCTAACCGCTGAGGGCAATGCCCGCTCCCGTAATTTGTTATGGCGATTTGGAAATCTTGTGCAATTTCCTCTGCAGTATTTAGTTGTGATAGTCAAGTCTATCACTTACCTTTCCTTCAGGTTTCTTGGCGGAAAATATAATGGAGAGTAAGTAAAAGTAATGGAGCCACTTATGAAGGCGACAAGCTTCAGAGAGAACATAAGAGCAGAACGGACACCAGGGTCTTGTCTCTCTGTCATCGATTTGAACAGCCACGTTGTACATGTGATTATCATAAGAACTCTTTTTACCCCAGGACAATTGCACAGTGGAACAATCTCCCACCAGAAATTATAGCAACTACTTCGCCATATTCATTTAGGCAATCCCTGTGTAGTCTTACATATTGATTAGTTATTTTATGTTATTGTTGTATTCATTGTTGTATTTTTTATTACTATTATTATTTAAAGCAGTCTGCAATACTCTGTTGAGAGTAAAGACTTAAATTGGTACATTTTTACGTGGTTGTAGACACTACGTTGCTGTTGATGGAGTTTACAGAGGGAAACAAAAAGTGTTACTACTTCTTGTGAAATTTCCGCATATGACTCACGTATGTAACGTTCAGTTTTGTCTCTTCCTCTATGCACTATGGGAGAGTGAGCTTCACATAATGTCTTGAAAATATCACGCTTTGGAATAACGAACTTTCCATCTGGATTAGCAATTTTTCCATGCTGTAGGGTCCACTTTTTACGCTTTATTGTTGCCACGTTGCTTGTTGAAAGCCCTTCAATGTCTTTGGAATTCTCTACAGTAAGCCAAGCTTTCGCTCTATCATAAAACTCATCGCTTAGATATACTGTTAAATTACTTGCTTTTCCCTTTCTGGGTGATTTCATTGACTCAAGTTTTTCGTAGAAGAGTTCTTCAGCTACGCAGCTATCCATTTTCACCGCCATTTGAACAAAACTCTCTATGCTTTTCTAGTACTGAACCAACCGAAGTTCGTGTTGATCTGTCATGCACATGTGTGAATAAATTATAATTTTTGGCCGTGGTGAGTCTGGGACCAATAAATTATAAGCTTGAGAATTATAGGGTGAATTTCAACGATTGCTTGCGTGGTCAAGTAGATAAGGAAGAGGACTACAGATCCAGAGGTTGGGAGTTCAAATCCACGTGAGTACCAACAAAAATAAAGACAAAGGAAGCAGGTAAGAGTGAGATAATATGGGGGTTAGGTGAGAGATAGTGAAGAGGGGGTGTTAGGAAGAACTAACTATAGGAGGGAATGACAGAAGAAGAAGGGAGGGGTGGTTGGTGAGATGCAAAAGAACTGAGAAAACGAAATTTGCTGATAAGCACTTATTCTTTTTAAGAACCCTCCCCCCTCCCCACCCCACCAAAAAAAATGTCTTTGTGATATATTCCTTTTCGGGGGGAGTTAAAAACTCACCAATTTGAGAAATTTTGTGAATATAAATAATTAAACCCAAAGGAATTTATTTTAACATGCTTTAGCACGCTACCCATCTTGCCTCATTAGCAATTTCTTTTGTTTCAGAGGTCAAGCTTGAGACAATTAAGTGTGAGCGAGTTGAACAGAAGAGTGTGTTGAAGTTTTTAAATAAGAGCTTGCATGCGAAATAGCACAACATGCTTTCGCAAGAGCACGCGAGGCGTTTTATTTAAAGCTGCAGTACTCCCCAAAGTACCCGAAACTTGCTTATCTCCTGTTGGAAGAATCAAGTCTCAGCTTCTGAGGTACAAAAAAAACCACAGAATTTTTGAGTACTCATCAGTCACAAGGATATTTTCGAGAAAGCAATTGATTTCTTCGCAATTTTCACATCTGAAGGAATTCACACCACTAATCAGTGCTTTTATGAGCTTGCTTCTACTTATGAATTGGCGGAAATTATAATAAAATCATCTGTTTTGAGTGAGGGCGTTGCATCCAAATACACAGCGCGAGTCGTGAGACATGTGAACAAACATCCCCATCGTTTCGCGGTTCGGCGGCCCCACTTGACCATTAATGGTCCGAACAAGTTAACACCAGTAAATGTAAATGGAGGATGGTACGCCTCTAGCCTTGCTCTTGGTAGCGACCCCATAAACTGCTCCAAGGGTTTAGCATTCATTTTCCGACACCTGATGCAGCCTCTAATAGTCGTCTTCACCAGACCTCTTCCACCAATAATCCAGAACATTCTTTGCAGTTCACACAAAGTTTGTTCTCTTCCACTATGAGCAGCACACTCATGGTAGTGACGAACAATCAACTGGCTCACGTGATGGCGCTTTGGTAGAACCATTGGATGTTTTTCGTCCCACGAGAGTATCACAGCTTTCTCCAATCGTCCTCCAACCAGCAGTACTCCATCTACTAACACTGGTCTCAGGTTTCCCAGCTTGCTAGATTTCTTGACTTCCTTCTTCGGCTCCACTTCCTTGACATCTTCTGGAAAGCTTTCATTTTGAACTCAGCGAACAATTCAGTTGACTGATTAGGTTCCTCTAAAGTCAGTGGTCAGGTAGAACCGGCAATCCTCTTATCAGCGACCCACTGGCAAAATCATTTTATCCACACTACATGGCGTTGCAGGGTTAACCATTAGCTGCAGCTCTCTATAAGCGTACTTAAACCTGCATGACTATCTTCTGACGCGTTGTCATTCTCACTGCACTCGGTGGGAGTGCCCATACAACGTGTTTCAACTCTTATGGGGTGAACATTTGCTGAAATTCGCACTTCCGGGTCACTGTCTGGTACTTCTCCATACGTTACTACACCTGGCCAGCACTCCTCTGCCTCCCAAAGGAATTCAGGACCTCTCTACCATGGATGTTGACAAGAACGTTTCGGAGGTTTTAAGCCACATGAAGCGTCATCGGCAGGGTTAACCTTTCCCGGGCAGTGCTTCCATTGGTCAGGTGATGTAACTTCACGTATTTCAACCACACAGTTAGCAACGTACGTCTGAAATTGTTTAGATACATTCTTAATATACTGCAATTTCATCTGAGAATCTGACCAAAATGTGGCGTTGCTTATCTTGTAAGTCAACTCATCTACAAGCACTCTGTACATCTTCACAGACATTGTCACTGCTTGCAGCTCAAGCCTTGGAATTGAAATTGGTCTCACTGGTGAACTCCTCGACCTTCCAATGAGAAAAGAACATCTCACAGTTCCGCAAGCATAGACACATCTGAGGTACGAGCACATGCCGTAGCCATCTTCTGAAGCATCAGAAAACAAGTGAAGGGATATGTTGACTACTGTGCTGTCGATCAGGTGACATCGCGGTACTTGAACTTGTGACAAGACAGCCAACTTGCACTTCCACTCGTTCCAGAGGCTTTGTAAATCTTCAGGTATCAGATCGTCCAATCTCAGATTTAGCTTCCACAGTCTTTGCAAAATCTTCTTAGCTTCCAGGACAACCGGGCAAACAAATCCCATGGGATCATACAGTGAGCTTACTGCTGACAGAATTCCACGTTTTGTAGGTGGTTTGTGGGGTTCACGAACCTTGAATAAGAAAGCATCTTTCTCCACATCCCACTGCACACCTAGTGTCCTTTCTACAGGGAGGTTCTGAAGATCTAAATCTAGAGTTGGCTTCGCACGATCTGCGTCAGGTATCTTAGACAGCACCTCTCGACTGTTACTCATTGATTTCGTCAGTCTAAATCCAGCTTCGTTAAGCAAACAAGTCACTTCGTCGGCTAGCGAGCTTGCTTTAGATACTGTCCCCACTGACTTCACGAAGTCATCTATGTAAAAATCATTTTCGACCACACTTACAGCCTCATCACTAAATCTTCCTTTATGGTCCTCTGCAGCTTTCTTTAGGCAAAAGTTTGCACAACTGGGTGAGTCTGTGGCACCGAAGCTATGAGTTGTCATCTGAAATTCCGAGAGCTTCTCAAGGTCACTGTCCTCCCACCAAAGCAATCTCAAAGCATCAGAGTCCTCTGGGGGTACTTTGATTTGGTTAAACATGCCCTCTATGTCAGCTACTAGTGCTTTAGGATATTGTCTAAACCTCAGCAAAGTACCAAGCAAATTGTTAGTTAGGTCGGGACCCTGGAGCAACTGGTTGTTGAGAGAAACTCCGTCGTGCAAAGAAGCCACATCAAATACTACACGAATTTTGCCCTGCTTTTGGGGGTGAAACACACCGTGATGTGACAAATACCATGTCCTTTGGCTTCGGCGCAGCGCCTCTTCTTCAGTCATTTTTCTGGCATATCCTTTCTGAATGAGGTTCTCCATAAACTCTCTGTACTTTCCGTGAATGTTCTCATCACGCTTGAGTTTTCTCTTTAAAGACTGTAGTCTTGCCTCTGCTGTCTGCCTGTTGTTTGGCAGCTAAGGGGTATCACTCTTCCATAACATTCCAACTTCGTAGTGTCCACCTACAACAAAAACTGAGTTTTCCATTCTTTTCTTTGCTTCCTGGTCTTTAATTGACATTCCTTTCTTGGAACTCCTGTTCATGGCAATGTCTTCAAGCCTTAGAAACTGTTTCATTTGATGATCAACCAACTCATCACAATACTTTACAAAATTCACATTCTTCAGGTGGGAGCACATAATATTTGCAGCATCAACTGGTCCAAGCAACCAGTACAGTGCGAACAGCATATGGTTCTGATCCCCCTCTCCTAAATTCTTCATGCACTTGGGCTTCAGGAACGTTTGCACCGATCAGCATAGTCACCTGTTTATTTCAAGGTCCTTTAAATGAGGCCACTTAGACAAGTCCTCAGCTCTTGCTGTAGTGATGTTAAGATTGTCTACAACTTTAACGTTTTTGATTTCTAGGATGTGATTGTCCTGGCTATCAACAGCTTTCACTCGAACATTGGCTTGACCAACTTTAATTGAGGACTCGCCCGATAATGTGCATACAGCCAAATTGTCACAGTTGCTAACTTGTAATCCAAGTTTATGACAAATAGCCTTGGAGAGAAATGTCTCTTCACTCCGAGTATCAAGCAGCGCATATGTAGCAACAGAATCTCCTTCTTTGTTCATTATCTTAACTGGAACAACTTGTAATGCGACCTTAGTCCTTGAGGTCGTGGAATACGTGAGACTTGCTGTTTCAACAGGTGCTGTAGTTACAGTATTCACATTTGCTTGCTCTCTAGGCCCTGGGCCTTCCTTAGGGTTCGCCAATGTTTCCTCTTTATCCTCTATTGGTTTGTGCAATAAGGAATGATGTGGTTGTTGACAATGTTTACATTTAAAGGTTGACTGGCACTCACTAACAAAGTGTCCCTTGCGTAAACAGTTCAAACAAAGTCCCTTGTACCTTGCAAAGACTATTCTCTGCCTTATAGATTTGTTTAGAAAATCAGGACAGTGCTCTATCTTATGTGTAGTTTCACAGCCATAACATTTTACTTTCATCGTTGTAGAATTTGACTCCTTGTCTGATTTCGCTGGGTCACTAGGTCCAACTTGCACTGCCATTGTCGTCGTCTTGGGCCCGGTCACCACATTAAGACTTGGGGGCAACAGTTGTCGACTGGCTGTTGGGTTTCTTCTTTAGAAAAATTGCTTCGTCTCTCCAACCCTTCCGAAGACTGGGTCATTAGCTGCTTCAGCACGCTTTTCAATAAACATCACCAGATCCTCAAGAGTTAGGAAACCTTTTCTTTCTCTAATTCTCAGAGCCTCATCTCTCCACTTAATCTGTAGCACAACAGGTAACTTCCCCGACATTTCCGACAAACTTGACATGTTCATTTCTGACAGGGCATTAAGTGATCTTAATGTTTCATACAATGTCCTTGAGCGGTCAGCAAATTCCTGCAGCCCTTGTCCATCGTTGTTTGATATGTTTGGTCCATCAAATAAAGCATCAACACATGCCTTTGCCACAATATGTGGTTGTCCAAAACGTTGCTGCAACATTTTTAGGGCCTTACCCAGCCCACC